TTCATGTAATTGAATAAAATGAAGCTATTGGAAAATGAGATCGTAGAAGTGTAGTAATTGACATGAATACATTCAGGGTATAGCTTGAGATAATGCATAAGGCTGCCACGCTGGAGAGGTAGGCAGAATCCAGAGCAAAGAAGGCCTTGTCTGCCATCCTAGGAAACTTCAGCTTTTTTGGTAGGTAGTGGCAAACCATGGAAGGATTTAAAATGACAGATCAGAGGGGCATTTTAGATAGATCCCTCTTGTAGTAGTGTGCCTGGAGGCAAGATCAATGAAGAAATTATTGCAGTGATCCTGAGATGAGGGCCTGAGGGTATGAACATCAGTGGATAGAGCCAGAGGATCGACTTTGGGCAGCCCAGTGAGTTAATCTTCCTTATGGTGGGTGACAGTCATAAGCACTTGGCCTCAGCAATCCCCAGATAGCTGTGTGCCATCATAGGAGGTAGTGACAGGAGAACTGGAGCTGGGGAAGATTGTGTGCTAGGCCAAACACCACTCTGCTGTACCTCTCTCACTCTCTGTTTCTCTTTCATTTAGTTTGCCCATATCCCTTCATTGATTACCCTGGCTAGCCTCTCATTTAGGATGGCCTGTGGTGACTGGCCCTCCTTCCCAGTTACATTTCTCATAGTACTAACGCTTGTTCCAGTGTACAAAAGCTATTTTTTTTAGGTGCTATGAAAATAGGAATTGTTGAATGTAACGCTGGGGTGCAGCAGAAGTGGATGGGAGGCTGAACAATGGTGGCAGTGTAGTAGAGGCTGATATGACTGGGGGAACAGGAATGGGAGGCAGGCCAGGTGATGGCTGAGAGGTTGGGTAGGGAAGGAGGGAACCTGGAACCAGAGAGGTTCAAAGGTAGAAGATGAACTGGTGTTAACAGCTGGTGCCTAGACTGGATGCTTAGGAAAGAGCTGAAGGTTAGTACAGAGATCTTTCCTGAGGAAGCTGTGAGAGTGTATGGTTTTGAATGGAACCTGTGGATTTTTCTGGAAGAAACATCCAACAAAGACTTCAGTTTTATAAGAATTGCAAGTGCTTCCGACAGACAGGTGGAAGCTATAATGAACCTGTCTTTGGGACTCCAAAACTCATCTATGTAAATGCAGTTTGCTGCCCACTTGAGTTTGTGTTTTGAGATGTCTCACACTGTAGAGAGTAGATCTTATGAGCTGGCTGTTGGCACAGGTGTGGGGCTGTTGAAGTGACTCCCTGTGTGCCATGTGGTCAAGGGCCAGGGCTAGAGTCTAAAGAAATGGAGCCCCATGAGTCCTGGTCTGTGTCAGGTGTGAAGTGGAAAGTGCATTGAACTGGGAGTTAGGGGACCTGGGTTCTTGTCAGAAAGCTTGTCAGAACCTTTTTCCCTCAGTTTCCTCATCTCAGAAATGGGATTTAATAACATGGTCCTGCCTGCCTCCCAGGCGATGGGAAAGTGGAAGTGCTCTGTAGCACTTCTCTGTATGCTACCTGCGCATGCCTTTTGTTTCAGGTGCTGAGCTGGGCAGATTTCAGCATGAATGCAAAGTGCCAAGTTGGTACTGGGGTATGCTCAGATACATGTTCATCTTTGTACCATCCTTGTTTGAACTTCTATGTCTCCTCTCTTCCTATGATATTTGCAGCCAAAGTGATAGTTTAGCTTTTCACCTGCTAGTCTAAAAAGCATGCCACCAAAGTTTCAGGCAGTTGGAAGCCAAGCAAAGAAGAAAGCAGGGATATTCAGGTCAAGGCTGGGGGCCCTTGCACCTCTGAATTAAAATGTTAGTTTTATGTGGCTCTGTTGGGTAATGTTGAATATGAATGTGATTCTAGCATGACAGGGTGAAGAGGTTCAGTATCATAAATCTGAGAAGTTGCTAAAGGTGGGCGTGAGTTTACTGGAAATGTAATATGAATAATGAGTAATCCCCAGATAACTGTGTACCATCATAGAAGGTGGAATGGAATGTAATAAGTAATCTTTCAATCAGATACATGTAGTCATGTCAAGTCAGCAGATTTGAAAAAGGACCCTAGAGGCCAGGCACAGTGACATACCTGTAATCCCAGCACTCTGGTAGGCTGAGGCAGGAGGAGGATTGCTTGGGGATAGGAGTTTGAGACCAGCCAGGGCAACATAGTGAGACCCTGTCTCCACAAAAATAAATAAATAAATAAATAAATAAATAAAATTAGTGTGGTGGTACACACCTG